TTTCGTCCTTGAATGAAGAACGGGGTTCTTCGTCAAGCTTATGGCGCTAGTATTATCACAACGGAGTGGAACGTGACTGATACTAAGGCCATAATCCACGAGTTGTTGCTTCATCCAAAGGATTTGAGCACAACAACTACCGGCGGCAACGTATTCCGCTTCGGTTGTGGATAACGCAACACTGACTTGTTTCTTACTAAACCATGAGACTAAAGAGCTACCAAGTAAGTGGCAAGTCCCACTTGTACTTTTACGGTCCAATTTGCAACCGGCAAAGTCCGAGTCAGAATAACCAGCGAGATGACACGAAGAGCCTTTTGGATACCACAGTCCAACGTTAACCGTGCCAACAAGGTATTTCATGATCCGTTTCACCGCTGTTAAGTGTGATTTCTTCGGACATGATTGATACCTTGCACAAAGGCATACGCTAAACATGATATCCGGCCCACTAGCGGTAAGATAGAGAAGGGATCCGATCATACGTCGATACTTTTTGACTTCTACTTCCTTACCTTTCTCGTCTTTGTCTAGATGGTCGGACGTGCTCATCGGGGTCGCCATGGCTTTGGTGTTGTCCATTTCAAACCGTTTTAGGAGCTCCTTGCAGTATTTAGTTTGACAAATGAACGTGCCATCATTCATTTGCTTGACTTGGAGTCCCAAAAAGAATGTGAGCTCACCCATCATCGACATTTCGAACTCGCTTGTCATTAACATTGAGAATTCCTTGCACAAAGACTCGTTAGTAGCACCGAATATAATATCGTCTACATAAACTTGAACCAAAAGGATGTTATTGTTTTTACTCTTGATAAAAAGTGTAGTGTGTACCTTTCCCCTTTGGAAACCACTATCCAAAAGAAATTTGCTCAAACATTCATACCAAGCACGAGGTGCTTGTTTAAGACCGTAGAGCGCTTTCTTGAGTTTGAAGACATGGTCGGGAAACTCAAAGTCTTCAAACCCCGGGGGCTGGTCAACATACACTTCCTCTTGAATAAAACCATTGAGGAAAGCACTCTTAACATCCATTTGATAAAGTTTAAAATCCATAGACGAAGCAAAAGCAAGAAGTAAACGAATAGCTTCTAAACGTGCTACAGGTGCATAAGTTTCCTCGAAATCAATGCCTTCTTCTTGATTGTAGCCTTTAGCTACGAGCCTAGCTTTGTTTCTAGTGATTATTCCATTTTCATCAAGTTTGTTACGGAACACCCATTACGTACCAATAACCGTACGATCATCGGGTCTTGGCACCAATTCCCAAACGTCATTCCGTTTGAATTGGTTTAGCTCCTCTTGCATGGCCAAGGTCCAATGTTCATCGTTTATTGCTTCGGAAATGGTTGTAGGTTCAGTTTGAGAAACAAAAGCCATGTGTCCTACGGTGTCCCTAAGTGAGTTACGAGTACTTACCCCGCGGTTGATGCTACCGATTACCTGGTCAAGCGGATGGTTCTTGTTTGTTCTCCATACTATGGGAAGCTCGGTT